CTGGCTGGTTGGACTGACTCTGTCTGTCCTCCCTGAGCCTTCTAGTCCTAGGGTTTCAGATATCCACCACTGTGCTCAGCTTTTTATGTGACTGCTGAAGACCCAAACTCAGGGTCCTTATGGCTGTGCTGCAATCACTTTACAAATGAAGCCAACTCCTCTTTCTAAAGGTGGTGCAATTTATACTTCTAGCAATTGCAAATGAAAACTCCTTAGTCTCACCTTTGTAAGCATAATCCATATATTTAGCCTTTGCCAATGTGAGAAATAAAAAGTGATGTCACTTTTAATAACACTTTTAGGTTTTATTTATTATTATTATTATTTATTTATCATTTTATTATTATTATCAGCATCATTACTATTACCATTATCTATTTTAGGAGTTTAGCTTTTTGGTTTTTTTGAGACAGGGTTTCTGTCTCCAGCCTTTACCAGGTTTTGACCTGGGAGGAATGACAAACTAAGCGAGTTGGTTCTGAGTATATAAGTTTTACTTCACAAAAATGGTCAAAGTAACACACACACACACACACACACACACACACACACACACACACATAAGCAAACAATCCTAAGAACCACAGACAATAGGCTCATAGCAGGGGGTTACCTCTCCTGCAGTGGCCTCAAGTTTGGGGCTGGGACTTAGGCTCCTCTGAATTCAGGCTGCCCAGTCTCTTGAGGTCGTGCTGTTGGGTTTCAGAAAGGGCGGCTCTCCGTTTAATAGACTGGTTGTTTCAGGTTAGTGGAGGAGAGCTCCAGGACGTAGAGTCGTGGTACACTCTAAAATTCCCAGTTCTGAGCTGGTCCCTTAAATAGCTTGCTAAATCTTGCTAATCACACTTTGCCACACACCACACATTTTCTCTGGGTAGTGGGCCTTATTCCCTTTCTTTTAATCTTTCTTCAGCCAGGCCTTTTCCTGCCTGGTCACAGCCTCCTCACAGTTTCTCTGTGGCTTTGGAGAATGTCCTGGAACTCACTCTGTAGACCAGGGTGATGTCTAACTCACAGAGATCGCCTGCCTCAGCCTCCTGAGTGCTGGTATTAAAGGTGTGAGCCACAACTGCCCTGCTGAGTTTAGCTTTTTATAGAGAGCCAGGAAATAAATATTTTAGACTCTTTGAACCATACAGTCTCTGTTGTTGCTACTCATCTCTGCTAGAACAGTGTGAAAGAAGCCATAGATTACACCAGGCATTGGTGGCACATGCCTTTAATGTGCTGGGATTAAAGATGTCCACCACCCTTTCCAGCTTGCTTTCAATTTCAGATTAGTTCCATGGAAACTCTAAGCTCCATTACCTAGTGTTTAAGGCCTCTGATCTCTGAGCCCAGGTTCTGTTTCTTGTCCTAAAGCTTCAAGCAAACTATTTGCTATTCATTAAGCAAGCCCTATGCTGTCTATTTCCCCACATTCCTCCCCTATTCTGGCTATTTGGAATCATCTGCACCCCAATCCTTAGTCACTGATTGTCCTATCCTATTTTAAGGACTATTTAAATTCAAAGAGGTCACTCTTTCCTTGACTTCCTTCAAGTCTTCAGTAAAATGCTTTCTGCCATGGGCTTAAGAAAGTCTCAGCAAAAAATGAAGCGTGCATACTGCTCTTGCAGAGAACCTGAACTCACTTCCCAGGATACTCACAACCACCTGTAAGTCCACCTTCATGGGATCTCATGCCCTCTTCTGGCCTTCATGGGTATCCGCACTTACATGCCCATCCCCCACCCAATAAACACTGGAGAGTTGGCTCAGCAGTTAAAAACAATGGCTTCTTTTCCAAAGGACTCGGGTGTTTGATCTCTAGCAGTCACATGAGCCTCACACTGGTCTGTAACTCTAGTCCCAGGGGATCTGATACTGTTTTCTGGCCCCCGAAAGTAAAACATAAAGCACTCATACAAAGTAAAAAAAAAAAAAAAAAAAAGAAAAAAAAATCAACCTTTCTTCCAAATTTTGATAAACCTTTCCAATTCATTCTTCTGATAGCTAGTTAGTATGTGTCTTAGGAATTCTATTGCTGTGACGGAATACCATGACCACGGCAATTCTTATAAAGGAAAAAACATTTAATTGGGGTGGCCTACATTTTCAGAGGTTTAGTCCATTATCATCGTGGTGTGACATGGTGGCGTGCAGACAGACATGGTGCTGGAGAAATAGCTGAGAGTCCTACGTCTTGCAGGCAACAGGAAGTGGTCTGTCTGACTCACTAGGTTTGGCTTGAACATACATGAGACCTCAAATCGGCCTCCATAGTGGCATATTTCCTCCAACAAGGCCAAACCTTCATTAGTGCTACTTCCCTTTGGGTGCCATTTTCTTTCTAACAACTGCATTATGTTAGCAAGAATTCCATTTCAGATCTCTGCCTGTCTTTGCACTGGCTCACCAGATGTTTTTGCAGTTCACTAGGGGTCACTCCTTATCAGTAATCTCCATCCATCTCTAAAGACCATGCTGGCTCAGATACAGGAAATGCTGGCTTTCAGTTAGAGCTGTAGAGTACAATGAAGACTCAGGAACTAAGGTCCAAAGTGCTTAAAAGTTTACTCAGTAATCGTTCTGCACTACATTCTTACAACTAACTGTAAAGCTTCCAGGCATCACAATTCGATTTTTAAAAAGTTGGTTTTACCCCCAAAATTTGATT